CAGGCCAAACAACCAACAGGGAGGGAACCCCACCCCACCCATCAGCAGACAATCGGATTAAAGTTTTACTGAGCTCTACCCACCAGAGCAACACCCAGCTATACCCACCACCAGTCCCTCCCATCAGGAAGCTTGCACAAGTCTCTTAGATAGCCTCATCCACCAGAAGACAGACAGCAGAAGCAAGAACTACAATTCTGCAGCCTGTGGAATGAAAACCACATTAACAGAAAGATAGACAAGATGAAAATGCAGAGATGTACCAGATGAAGCAACAAGATAAAACCCCAGAAAAACAACTAAATGAAGTGGAGATAGGCAACCTTCCAGAAAAAGAACTCAGAATAAAGATAGTGAAGATGATCCAGGACCTTGGAAAAAGAATGGAGGCAAAGATCAAGAAGACGCAAGAAACGTTTGACAAAGACCTAGAAGAATTAAAGAACAAATACCTAGAAGAATTAAAGAACAAACAAATAGAGATGAACAATACAATAACTGAAATGAAAAATACACTAGAAGGAATCAATAGAATAACTGAGGCAGAAAAAAGGATAAGTGACCTGGAAGACAGAATGGTGGAATTCACTGCCACAGAGCAGAATAAAGAAAAGAGAATGAAAAGAAATGAAGAGAGCCTAAGAGACCTCTGGGACAACATTAAACATACCAACATTCGCATTATACGGGTCCCAGAAGAAGAGAGAGAGAAAGGACCCGAGAAAATATTTGAAGAGATTATACACAAAAACTTTCCTAACATGGGAAAGGAAATAGCCACTCAAGTCCGGGAAGCACAGAGAGTCACAGGCAGGATAAACCAAGGACAGACATGCCAAGACACATAGTAATCAAACTGACAAAAATTAAAGACAAAGAAAAATTATTAAAAGAAAAAAGGGAGGGGCTTTCCTGCTGGCACAGTGGTTGAGAATCCGCCTGCCAATAAAGGGGACGTGGGTTTGAGCCCTGGTCCGGAAAGATCCCACATGCTGCAGAGCAACTAAGCTCGTGCCACAGCTACTGAGCCTGCACTCTAGAGCCTGCGAGCCACAACTACTGAAGCCCAAGTGCCTAGAGCCCATGCTCTGCAACAAGAGAAGCCAGCGCAGTGAGAAGCCTGTGCACCGCAACGAAGAAGAACCCCAGCTCACCACAACTAGAGAAAGTCGGCATGCAGCAATGAAGACGCAATGCAAGCCAAAATAAATAAATAGATAAATAAATTTATTTTTAAAAAAAAGCAACAAGGGAAAAAATGTCAAATAACACACAAGGGAACTCCCATGAGGTTAACAGCTGATCTCTCAGCAGAAACTCTACAAGCCAGAAGAGTGGCACGGTATATTTAAAGTGATGAAAGGGAAGAACCTACAACCAAGATTACTCTACCTGGCAAGGATCTCATTCAGATTCAATGGAGAAGTCAAAAGCTTTACAGAAAAGCAAAAGCTAAGAGAATTCAGCACCACCAAACCAGCTCTACAACAAATGCTAAAGGAACTTCTCTAAGTGGGAAACACAAAAGAAAAGGATCTACAAAAACAAACCCAAAACAATTAAGAAAATAGTAATAGGAACATACATATTGATAATCACCTCAAATGTGAATGGATTAAATGCTCCAACCAAAAGACACAGGCTCGCTGAATGGATACAAAAAAAAAACCTCCATATGTATGCTGTCTACAAGAGAGCCACTTCAGACCTAGGGACACATACAGACTGAAAGTGAGGGGATGGAAAAAGATATTACATGCAAATGGAAATCAAAAGAAAACTGGAGTAGCAATACTCATATCAGATAAAACAGACTTTAAAGAATGTTACAAGAGACAAGAAAGGACACTACATAATGATGAAGGGATCAATCCAAGAAGAAGCTATAATGATTATAAATATATATGCACCCAACACAGGAACACCTCAATACGTAAGGCAAATGCTAACAGCTGTAAAAGAGGAAATCAACAGTAACACAATAATAGTGGGGGACGACTTTAACACCTCACTTACACCAATGGACAGATCATCCAAACAGAAAATTAATAAGGAAACACAAGCTTTAAGTGACACAACAGACCAGATAGATTTGATATTTATAGGACATTCCAACCGAAAACAGCAGATTACACTTTCTTCTCAAGTGTACACAGAACATTCTCCAGGATAGATCACATCTTGGGTCACAAACCAAGCCTCAGTAAATTTAAGAAAACTGAAATCGTATCAAGCATCTTTTCTGACCACAATGCTATGAGATTAGAAATCAATTACAGGGGCAAAAAACGTAAAAAACACAAACACATGGAGGCTAAACAATACATTACTAAATAACCAAGAGATCACTGAATATGATCATCTCAATAGATGCAGAAAAAGCTTTTGACAAAATGCAACACCCATTTATGATAAAAAAACTCTCCAGAAAGTAGGCACAGAGGGAACCTTCCTCAACATGATAAAGGCCATATATAACAAACCCATAGCAAACATCATTCTCAATGGTGAAAAACTGAAAGCATTTCTTCTAAGATCAGGAACAAGACAAGGATGTCCACTCTCGCCACTATTATTCAACACAGTTTTGGAAGTCCTAGCCATGGCAATCAGAGAAGAAAAAGAAATAAAAGGAACACAAATTGGAAAAGAAGAAGCAAAACTGTCACTGTTTGCAGATGACATGATACTATACATAGTTAATCCTAAAGATGCCACCAGCAAACTACTAGAGCTAATCAATGAATTTGGTAAAGTTGCAGGATATAAAATTAATTCACAGAAATTTCTGGCATTCCTATACACTAACAATGAAAGATCAGAAAGAAAAATAAAGGAAACAATCCCATTCACGATTGCAACAAAAAGAACAAAATACCTAGGAATAAACCTACCTAAGGAGGTAAAAGACCTGTACTCAGAAAACTATAAAACACTGATGAAAGAAATCAAAGATGACACAAACAGATGGAGAGATATACCATGTTCTTGGATTGGAAGAATCAATATTGTGAAAATGACTCCACTACCCAAAGCAATCTACAGATTTGATGCAATCCTTATCAAATTACCAATGGCATTTTTTACAGAACTACAAAAAAAAAATCTTAAAATTTGTACAGAAACACAAAAGACCCCAAATAGCCAAAGGAATCTTGAGGGAAAAAAATGGAGCTGGAGGAATCAGGCTCCCTTACTTCAGACTCTACTACAAAACTACAGTAATCAAGACAACATAGTACTGGCACAAAAACAGAAATACAGACCAATGGAACAGGATAGAAAGCCCAGAGATAAACCCACATATCTACGGTCAACTAATCTATGACAAAGGAGACAAGGATATACAATGGAGAAAAGACACTCTCTTCAATAAGTGGTGCTGGGAAAACTGGACAGCTACATGTAAAAGAATGAAATTAGAACACTCCCTAACACCATACACAAAAATAAACTCAAAATGGATTAAAGACCTAAATGTAAGACGAGACATTATAAAACTCTCAGAGGAAAATATAGGAAGAACACTCTGACATAAATCGCAGCAAGATCTTTTTTGACCCACATCCTAGAGTAGTGGAAATAAAAACAAAAATAAACAAATGGGACCTAATGAAACTTAAAAGCTTTTGCACAGCAAAGGAACCTATAAACAAGACAAAAAGACGACCCTCAGAATGGGAGAAAATATTTGCAAACGAATCAATGGAGGAAGAATTAATCTCCAAAACATGTAAACAGCTCATGCAGCTCAATATTAAAAAAGCAAACAACCCAATGCAAAAATGGGCAGAAGACCTAAATAGACATTTCTCCAAAGAAGACATACAGATGGCCAAGAGGCACATGAAAAGCTGCTCAACATCACTAATCATTAGAGAAAGGCAAATCAAAACCACAGTGAGGTATCACCTCACACCGGTTAGAATGGGCATCATCAGAAAATCTACAAAGAACAAATGCTGGAGAGGGTGTGGAGAAAAGGGAACCCTCTTGCACTGTTGGTGGGAATGTAAATTGATACAGCCACTATGGAGAACAGTATAGAGGTTCCTTAAAAAACTAAAAATAGAATTACCATATGACCCAGCAGTCCCACTACCAGGCATATACCCAGAGAGAACCATAATTCAAAAAGACACATGCACTCCAATGTTCCTTGCAGCACTATTTACAATAGCCAAGACATGGAAGCAACCTAAATGCGTATCAACAGACGAATGGATAAAGAAGATGTGGTACAGTTATACAATGGAATATTACTCAGCCATAAAAAAGGAATGAAATTGGATCATTTGTAGAAATGTGGATGGATGTAGAGACTGTCATACAGAGTGAAGTCAGTCAGAAAGAGAAAAACAAATATTGTATATTAACGCATATATGTAGAATCTAGAAAAAATGGTACAGATGGTACAGAAAAATGGTACAGAACTATTTTGCAAGGCAGAAATAGAGACATAGATGTAGAGAACAAACGATGTAGACAACAAGGGAGGGAGGAGGGGATGAACTGGGAGACTGGGATTGACATATATACACCAATATGAATAAAATAGATAACTAATAAAAACCTGTTATATAAAAAATAAAATAAAAATTTTAAAAATGTGTATCAACCCCCAGCAACACATAACTGAAGCAGATTAGATTACTGCAGTGCATTCTATTAGCAGCCATTCCTGCAGAATGTAATTATCAGAGTTGTCAGGTCCTCGGACCACAACTAGCTGCTTTGTTTCAATCTGGAAAACTCAAGGCAGCAATTTTCATCTATGACTGAGAGGGTCATATGCTCAAAACCAAGGTGAGCTGAGGATAGGAAATGAATCAGATTCTCCATGCCAAAAAGAGGCTCAGGCCGAATGGAGACGCTCTAGAATTCCTACTCCCTGGCAGAAACAGTAGCCATAGAAGTCCTTTCCAGAAGGAAAAACAAGCTCTTGTATCTGATGGCACCTTGAACACACACACACTTAGGAAACAGAAAAGCCACTTACCACTGGCCGGCTTTAAAAGAAAAGTCTTTATCAGCTACAAGCAGGCGGAGCCTCTTCACAGATGGGGACTCATCAGCTGCTCCACACACCTTAGCTGCTGACACCACCTGGAGCCAAAAGACCACAGTGGCTGAGGTTAGGTGCACACAACTCAGGAACAAACTGTGGCTTTCTGCTAGGTAGGTTTTTGGGTTTTTTTAAAAATCTACAAAGATGTGGGTTTTGAAAATTGCAAAACAAAGTAAAGCACACTTTGCTTTAGAATTCTGCCTACCACCAGGTGAACAAATTTTAATTATTTTGGGAGAATTTTATTCTGCATACAAAACTCACCTCTGAGAGGGACCGTTTAACAAGCGTGTATTTGTGGAGCGTGCAGTGTGTGCCACGCACGAGGCTGGGTGCTCTGGGGAAGAGCCGGGGCACCGGAGCCCCATGCAGCCCTGCCTGGAGCCTGACTGCTCTGTCAGCGCTATGCACGTAAATGAGACCCACCGTCAGCCACAAGCCTGTGTTTGTTCTGAGCCCTCCAGAAGCCCACGCCAAGCTGACTTCAGAAATTAAAAGCCAAGCACTTAGAAACTTTTTTTTATTTTAAGCAATTTTCACAGAGTAAGTTGTGTGCCTGTTTAATCTAATGACAGACAACAAATTGGGTTTGTACTCCTTGTGCCTTTGTTTTCTTCATTTATTTTTTCTAATTCATTATTTATTATATTTTACAAGATATAAAGAGTTCACAACCTTCAAACAACAAAAACAGCCCTTTGCCACAGATCGTTGGACAAACACTATTTTAAACGATGTATCTGATTTCCAGAAAATCCTAAAAAGGTCTGAGTCAGGTACTCTTCAGTTCAGTGACATCCATGCCTCCAACACCCCTCAAATTCCAAATGCCTCTACTTCCTACATTCCTTGTTTCTTCCGCCTGTGGGTTTCTCTTCCTCCCAAACCTGGGATTTCTTCACAACAGGGCTGAAAAGACAATATGACTCTTTCCTCCACCTACTGCCCTTCAGCTCCACTTCTGGCAGCAAATCAAATCAGTAGCAGGTGACCAAACACAGTCCTTCTCCTTGACTGTGTTACCTTCACAGCTCCATTAGGGGGCGCCTTGGGAATCTGTCGAGGTCAGTGAGCCTCCCACCCTAATGCTAGCTCCCCTAGCCCCTTTTTTCCAATAGGACCAAGTCAAGTCAAACTATCAGTGGGAGACAATTCTTAAAAATCCACGGGAAAATTCTCCAGATAATGATGGTCTCCCTCGCCACCTCAACAAACCTCTTAAAATGTTCTCCCTTTCTCTTGCTCCTGTAAAATCCCCTGCCTCTCTTTCTCTGTATTTTTGCCAGTCCTCTCTCTCCTCCTCTCCCTGAGAGCAAGTGGGGTGAATATCCCCTCTGGAGCCTCTGAGCCTGGCCCCACCCCCGCCCTGCATGAAACGCTACTTCACCAGCTCCCACCAGCCTCTCCTCCAGGTTCAACCTGCTCCTCTAGACCCCCTGACTCATCAGACATGATGTCTAATGCTAACTGGTCATCCTCAACAATTCAGCAGCAAAGAGGAAGCAGCAGAGTACGGCTTTTAACAGCACAGGCTCTACAGCTAGACTGCTTGGTATTGAAGCCTGGTGCCACCACTTACCAGCTGTGTGACCCTGGCCACACGTGTGACCCTAGGCCGCCTCAGCTGGGAGATGAGAATAACAGCACCTGTACCTCACAGAGTTGGTGGGAAGATTAAAGGAGACAACATATGCAAAGCACACATAACGCTGCTGGCCCACAGTAAGTGCTCCTTAAGTGTCTGTTTTTATGTATCTTATTGCATTAATTATAATGAATTTATCAGTATTTATTCATTATTACAAGAAATCTCACACTTTATCCATTTACGATCGCACATGCCACCTCACCAGTGCCGCCATGCAGGGACTCGCAGACCAAGCGCCGCACACCCCGGGGAGCTGTTCTCATGGACAACAGTACACACTATAAAGCATGGTGGTCTTGGTACCACAGCCCATTCATTGTTTTGCTAGAACAAACCTAAAAGCCATACCGTCTTTAAAAGCTATTCTGGAAATCTTGCCTTTAACACTGGCCTCTACTTATACTTCTTCATCCAACAGAACCTTCCCTGCTCCCTTGATGCTCTCTGCACCCATGGGAAACCTGGCTTCTGCTCTCCTGTGACTTCTCCCAAGCTTGGTGGATGTCTTGCCGAACAACCAAACTCAACATCCAGTCCCAGTTCTCAGCCTCCCTTCCAAGCGTCCCTGGTCTCTCTGAATTTGATGCTTCCTACTTCCTTTCCATCCTGAAGCACCCTCCTTGCCTGGGACGGCTGACACTGAACTCTCCCGACCCCCTCCTGCCTCTCTGACCTGGTCCTCCTGCCCCTTCTCCGCCCCTCCTCCCACTTCCTTACCAGGCGCTTCCTCTGAGCTGCCTCACTCCTGCGCCCTCTTCACCTCCGGGCTGAGGGCCTCAAGCACTCCCAAAGCTACAACCCTCCACCCCAATTCACTGTTACTTCTCTGCCAATCACAGGCTCACATCTACATGCCCCTGTAAAAACAGTCAACGTCTGAGGAGCATTTATCTCAGGTGTACGCCAGGTGCTAAGCTAAATGTTTTATGTGCATTAATTCATTCAGCTAATATGAATAACCATATTCTATCCCGAGAGACAGTATTGTTACCCTCCATTCTGCAGATGAGGAAGTGGAAAGGTTCAGTAACTTGCTCCAGATCACTCAGGAATGGCCGTGTCGGGATTCACACCCAGGTCTGCTTGGCCCTTGACCACCTGAAAGTCCTGATCCAATGGCAAACGCACTGATGTGCACAACTAAACCCAGCATATTCATTCCTTCCACAAACCTTTCTTGAACTTGGTGCCTGGCGCTGGAGGCGCAGAGGTGGAGAAGGCTGCTCCTGCCCTCAGAGGGCCCCGCAAAAGCAGCCGCCTTTCACGATCAAGGTTTCAGGCCAAGGTTTCAATTCTGGATCGACCTTGGAGTCAGTAAGTCAAATCCATGATCTACTGGTACCTGCGCACACAGTCTTGGTTCATCGCTAACACAGGCCAGTTCCACGAATTCAGCTCACGCCTCTTCCTCCCCTTGCTCGCCCACCACCATCCTAAGCCAAGAACTCTGCTCTTCTCGCTTGAGTTTCTGCCTCAGCCTCCTTCTTATCTCTCTCAAAACAGACAACAGGCGAATATTCCTCATGTTCTGACCTCACCGAGTTACTCACCAGCTCAAAACCCTCCAAGGTCTCCCTAACTCTCAACTACAAACAAAATGCTCAGAGGCCTTGGTAACTCATGCCAGCCTGAGCTCCTCCTGGTTTACCAGCCAAACTGGACGACTTGCCAGTCCTTAAAGGCAACTGACACCTGCCTCCCTCTCAAAGCCCTGCTGAGGTCTCTGGGCAGGCACCCGCCCTCAGTCCTGTCACCCTCCCACCCAGGCCCCCGGGCCCTGCTCAAACACCACCCCTCACTCAGATCCTCCCTCTCCTCTCCATCCTCTCAACTCTGCCAATAAAATTTTTCCGCCTGTCTTATCATACTTAGCACATTTAATGTAAATATAAATACTCATGAACAGATCTTTTCCACACACAGACCACAAGCCTCCTGAGGTCACGTACTGGATAGAATTTCCATCTAGGTCACTTCCCTGCCTCAAGCATGGGGCCAAACACATAGTTAAGATTCAGTAAATATCTGCAGAATGAACGAAAACTCTAACTTAAAGTGACTTAAAATTGGTTTCCAAAACAAAGGTTAGTAGAAATTCAGGAGTTATTTGTTGTTCAAAAAAACAAAAAAACGAAAAGAAAAGAAAAGAAAAGAAAAAAAAAGCAAGTGGGGGACCACTAAAGAAAATCTAAATTCATGTTCAAAACTGTGGAAAAGTCAGGGAAGGCAGGGATTTCTTCAGTAGAATAGGAATCTTCCTTTGTTTGCCACACACTCTATTTTAAGTATCTTATTACAAAGTAATAATCAGCAGAGGACTCTCATGACATTATTACTCTTATTTTTTTAGGTTTACAAAAAAGAAACATTTGTTTTTGTAAAGTCATTATTTTCTTTCAATACAATAATCTGCAAAAACACAGCCAAGAGCTAGATTATTTCATTTGTAACAGTTTAATGGGCATCTGTCAGATTCATTAAAAGCTAGATATGTATAAGCTTTAAACACATCCCAAAGAGTCACCTGGTCACAGGGAAATGACATTCATAATCACAGGGGAGGTGGGGAAAGGCACAGAGAATTTCAGCTGAAACATGAGCATGCTTGACCAACAAATGCTAGACTACATAAAATGAATTCAACAATCATCTGCCAATGTCCAAATAAATTCAATTAAGAAGGGAAAGAAGTTATACTTCCCATTGAAAAAGTTCTGTTTTCATCTGGATAGCCCCCATGACCAAAAATGATCCCAGATGCTTTATGCCTACTGGTATTAATACAAAAGGCAACATACCTGTTGCTATTAGTCCAAATAATCTGGGCAAAACTGCTATAACTGGTCACACAAAATACCTTTGCACAATTCATGATTTTTAAAGACATGCCTCCCTCTTAACACCTTATTTTCTTAATATAAATACTGTTTACTATACAAAGATTTCTAGCAATGGGGATTAAAAACATTAGCAAAATCTTTTTGAAGGCCGTGTCTTTTATTTTATTCTGAAGCTATTTCATATAATTAAGCCATGATTATGGCTCTGGTTATATGCCATTCTTTCTCTACTTTTAGTGAATAAGCAAAACATGATGGAGAAACTGTATGTTTTAACATTTGTACTTGTTCTCAATGGATCAAAAGATTTCGCAACTGAAACCTCAACTAGCCATGTCCTAAGTTAAAACACATGGCAGGAAATGAAGTTTTCCATAAAATAACATCTAGACTCTTCTACTGTTCAGTAAAATAACAATACATTTGCCAACTTTTACTAGCACACTTTTTTAATGCTTTGTCAGAGTCAGCATCTAAAAGGAAATGCCATCATGCTGACTGAAAGGGTTTTATGGACGATATTTTGATGTTACTGCTGCTACAAAAGTCT